CCCATGGTGCAGATGATAGGTTTGAACTGCTGACCTTCTGGTTAGCAGCCTTACCCACTGCACCACCAGAGCTCCAAATTAGAGAAGGATGATAACCAGTTATTAATGTATTAAGTTAAAACTGAATTAAGTTATTCAGATTCTTACTATTAACACAACAATTAGGATTGAAGATAAAATACCAGATACTCTCATTAGGAGGCTTTCCACTCTCACTGTGGATATTTCTTTGTTAACTGTCCTAGGGCTCCGGTGGGGGAGCATCACAATTGAGAGCAGTTGTTCTCAACTATGGCTGCACACTGGAACCACCTGGGGAGTTTTGAAAAATAATGATGCCCAGGTGCTAATTTAATTGGTCTTGAGTAAGGCCTGGGCATCAGGATTTTTAGAAGCTCTCCAAGTGTTTCTACTGTGCCTTGGTTGGAAACCACTGCTTTACTCTTACTTTCCCAAATGTAATCCAAGAACCACCATCACTCATATCATCTGGAAATTTGTTAGAAATGCACAATCTCAGGCCACACCAAGGCCTCCTGGATTAGAGTCCTGAGGTTGCCAGACTGTTATGAACAAATAACTGGCACTGTTTGCAATTGGGGGCTATAAACCTGAGATTAATTCCTTAGAATTTTGAATGTTATCTCAAATCTCCCAAAATCATAAAAATGTTTAGGTACTGCACTCCTTCATTAACATGGTCTAGCATATGTACTTTATTGCATTAACAATTAAGACAAGGACTAGTCATATAACTTTTTTTTTAAAAAAATTTGTTATGATTTGGATATAAGTTTACAGAGCAAATTCATTTTCCATACACAGTTCATACACATTTTATTTCATAACACTGACTGCAATTCCCCACAATGTAACAGCTCTCTTCCCACTTCCTCCCTGTAGTTACCTCTCGTGTCTTTCCTTTCCATCCATTCACCACACCACAAGCTGTCTCCCTATGCAAACACTGCCCTTCTGTTCTCCCATGACTGATGGATTGATCTCTCCAAGGAATGTATCTGCCTGGTATAAATGTTCACCCTATATGCCTATTGTTTGGCTGGAAGCCACAGGAGTGAGTTCATCCAGACCTGAAGGGTAACTAGGGGCCACAGTCTCAGGGGTCTCACCAGGCTCTATCAGAGCAGCAAATCTGGTCTTTTTTGGGCAATCTACTTCCGTAGTGATACCACCTTGGAAACCCAAGGAGGGGTCACTATGAGTAGGATCTGACTCAATGGCAGCGAGTGAGTATGAGTGAGAACATTTTACATAAGTCATCAGAATGCCTTTTACCCTCATATTTACAGACTCAGAAAACTCTAGAATCCCTTTGTTTAATTAAATTAGTCTTTTTGTTTTGTTTTGGAGTAAAATTCATCTTATATTTGGAGTCATATTTGCCTAGTTTTGGCTTGTCCTAACTGGATAAGCTTTTGAATCCTTTGCAACAATCAGTTTATCCAAACTACACATATATGAATCATTCTAACACAGAAACATCACTGTGTGTACCTCTAAATGGTGGTAATAAGAACCACTGCATATACCATTCTGTGGTGAAAGTTTCTACACAGATGGAAGATGAAAGTCAGAGCTAACTAAGGGACTATGAACTTGCCATCCTTTAGAAGACTGGCAGAGTTCTACTTTACATCATTGCTAAACAGACAAATAAAAGGGTCTGGAGTCATCTCTTAATACTCATGCAAATATTCCAGTTCTATTACAATATCAGATAAAATACTTAATGTCATATACAGATTCAGCACCAGTAAGGATTTCTCTGCTGGTTGTTATACGACTAGTGCTTGTAGTTTTTGTTTGCTTGTTTAACCAAGATCTCTGTAAAACACATTTTCATTCATCTCATGCCTGAATATCGGATGTGAGAGTCCTGGTAGCAAGCTTTGCTCCCCATTGATAGAGGTGTCACCAGTGTGGCCCCAGAATCTGGTCAAAAGCCCAGAGAGAGCGTCCGGGGGCTTCATTCAAATAGTCTGAGCATCTCAAGTTTCTGGGAACTCTAAGGATATTGGAAGAGAAGATGTCTCTTCAGTGGTTCCCAAAACTGGCTGTTTATCAGTCGCTTAGAGGACTTTTCAAACAATACAAGCTCTGGGGCCACACGCTAAAGGTTGAACACTCGTAATTTATCGAGCATACATTTGTACAAGTTACTGATTCATTGAACCCTCACAACAACCCTATGTGGTAGGTGCCACTGTTTTGCAGATGAGGAAACAGAGGCATGGAGAAGTTCTTTCCCAGTGTAGCTAGGAAATGGCAGAGCCAGGATTTAAACCCTGGCAGTGTGGCTCTAGAATACACACTATGGTGCCTCTGGGTCATTGAGAACGTGACACAAGGCAGACTGCTTTCTTCTCAATTACCTCAGATCTTGGTATTAAAGTTTATGCCATTTGTCAGGAGTTAACGATGGTGGGGGTGTGGGGTGAGTATAAAGGTGTAGCACAAAGGTCTTTGAGGTGCTGGACTAATTCTGCCTCTTGATTGTGGTATTGGTTACACAATCTACACATGATAAAACGGCATCCCATGTGTACCCGCACCAATGTCAATTGCCTAGTTTTGGTACTGTACTATGGTTGGATAAGATGTAACCACTGGGAGAAGCTGGGTGAAAAGTACATGTTTTGGTAACTTTATGCTGTTCTAACAGAAAATATGCCAAATAGGTGACTTTAACAAACAGGACTTTACTCTCTTACAGTTTTGGAGGCTAGAAGTCCCAGTTCAAAGTGCCAGGCTCTAGGGGCTGGGTGAAAGCCTCTCAAACTTGGGCTTCAGCTCTGCCTCTTGCTCCTGGCCCACTGAAGCTGGAGGCTTTCTTCACTCAGGCAGCTGCTGGCTGCTGAGGCTGACAAATCCAAGGTCTGACAAGTGAAAAGACACAGTCCCTGATAATTACCAAACCACACGGCAGGCCATTGATTCACAAGTCTATTAAGAGCCCCAAGATCAGCAGAGTATTGCAGGCTGCTGAATGAAGATTTGGTTATGTGCAGGGGTCCAAGTACGCTTAAAAAAAACTAGAGAGTTCACTCAACGCTTCTTTTTATTTACTAGAAGCAGACCATGTCCCTAGAGCAGCTACTTTGCTGCTCACGGCAGATTCCACCATGAAGCTGATTACCAGTTTCATCATGGGGAATAACTACAACCAGCTGCCAAGCTACTCAAAATCAGGCCCAGTCAAGTTGACACATAACCTTAACTACCATAGCACACAAGACAGCTCTGTACTATTTTTGCAACTTCCTGTGAATCTAAAATTATACAAAAACGTTTTAAAAAGCATATGCCCACCTTTGGCAAGCCCCAAATCATTTAGAGGCTAGTTCCCTGAAGGTTTGCTAAAAGGTCATTTTTGGAAGACAAACCTTCTGCTTGGGCCAAGAAAAATACAATGAGTCTGGGCAGAGCAAGAGTTCAGTGGTAGTAGTGGCGGCAGCAGCTGAGCAAGGCCACCTCTGGCTGCACCAATAACAGAGCGAAGCACATTGTGACTGAGAGGAGGTCTAAAACTAGTTACTTATGTCTTGCAGTGATTTTCAAATGACCAGAGCCCAGCTGGCTATATAAGAACCACTGTGGAGAGACCTGAGTGCACAAACTCCCTGTCCCACACCTAGAGACTGATTCAGTAGGTCAAGAGCAGGCCAGCAATCTGTTTAAAAAGCACCCCAGATGACATGAGTTTGAGAACTTCAGATTAAGGAGCAGCTGATACAACTGGATCTCCAGTGATATCACAGGACTCAACCAGGCTGGGGTCTATAACAAAAGCCCTTGATTTTCTTATGGCTGGTATGCTGAGAGAGAGAAAGATTATATCACATCACATAAAAACATTTACCTTTTCTTTTTCTGTAATCTTTTAATTTTTTTATTTTTTATTGCCTTCCTATTCACCCCAGTTACTATGTGTCTATGCTGTAGTTAGTGATTTATGCATCTTTCCCCTCCTACTCCTGATGATTATCAAAGAATGTTTCTTTTTGTGTGAAACTCTTTTCTTGATTTTTTTTTTACAACAGTGTCTACCTTTTTCTTAAAAACCACTGCCATCAAGTTGATTCTGACTCACAGCAACCCCCTTTGGGTTTCTGAGGCAGTAAATCTTTATGGAAGTAGATTGCCTTGTCTTCCTTCCACAGAGCACTGGTGGGTTTGAACCATCAACCTTCTGGTTAGCAGTCAAATGCCTTAGGCACTATGCCACTATAGCTCCTTACCTTTTTCTTAGTGCCATGTATTAATAAGGAACTATTAAAATGAATTTTTTTTTCTATTACACCTCTCCTATTTGGTTATTTACCAAGTTTCTCATGGTAGCAAAGTAGTTACAAATAAGGTAATTCTCTAAAATTGAATGTTTTAGGATTGAAAGACCATTAGGTACTCTGCTAGGTTAAAAAGGTTTTTGTCTACAAGTAACAAAATACTCAACCAATAATAAAATAAACAAACAGGGGTCTATTTTCTCACATGACAGGAAATCCAGAAGTATGTGGGTGCTTGTATTGGTTCCACAACTCAAGAGGTAAGAACTGACACCTCTGCAGTTCTCCTGGCCTTTCACTCATAGGTAATCTCTCACAAGGTGACATTTGCAGCTCCTGCTTCTTGCATTAAAGGCTGGATGAAGGAGAAAGGGGCAGGACCACTGAAGTTCTATTTTTGTCCCACTGGCCAGAACTGTATCCCATGGACATTCCTGACTGCAAAAAAGGCTGAGATATTGAATATGTTCCTTGGTAGAGGCAGGAAATGAAAATGGGGAGGGACTGGTGTTGGGTGAGCCAATCTATAGTGTTTGTCACAGCTTTCAAATTAAAATGTTATGACCAAAACCAAAAACTAAACTCACTGCCATCAAGTCGATTCAAAATGTTATGAAGCACCATTTAATTAAGCTAGAAACAGCTGATCAGACACATAATAATAAATTATCATAGAAAATATTGATATAAAAGTCAGCCATAAAGATCTCCACTGTCAATAATTACACATGTAGGTACTGGTCTTTCATTCTCTGTTGGAACTAATTCCAGTTGTTTAAGAACATCTGTTCCTTCAATCAGTTGCCTACATGGGAGAAAAAATAGAAAATTTAATGAGTCAGATAGTTTCACATTTAATTTATATTCCTAAATTGAGTCCTAACCAGCAATAAAGCCATAAAAAAAAAAACCAAATCCATTGTCATTGGGTCTATTCCAATTCATATCGACCCTGTAGGACAGAATGGAACTTCCCTATAGGTTTTCCCAGGCTGTAAATCTGTACAGAAGCAGGTTGCCACATCTTCCTCCTGCAAAGCAGCTGGTGGGTTCAAATTGACCACTTTTCAATTAGCAGCTGATTGCTTAACCACTGTATCACCAGAGCTCCTTTACCAAGCTAGGGTAAAAACAGCTAAGGCTATTTCCTACAAATAGATGTGTCCACTTTGCAACAATAATGTATAACTCCAACTACAATCCCGGCTGCCATCCTTTCCTGCCTGGCCTATTGCAGTAGCCTCCTAGCTGGGTTTCCCTTCATCTGCTCTGGCACTCAAACAATCTGTTATTCTTACTGCAACCATAAGGATCTTTTTAAAATTCAAATCTGATGTCATTTCCCTGCTTAAGACACTTCAGTCATTTCCCATTGTGCACGTGTTTTGTTGTATATGCCATCAAGTCAACTGCAATTCATAGTGACCCAATGTGACAGGGTAGAACTTCCCCACAGGATTTTCTTGGCTGTAATCTTTATGAGAAGAAACAGCTGCAAATGTTCATTAATAATCATGGAATGTATGAAGTATGAATCTAGGAAAACTGAAAGTTGTCAAAAATGAAATGGAATGCATAAAGATATCCCAGGTATTAGTGAGTTGAAATGGACAATTATATGGTATATTATGCCGAGAATGACAAATTGAAGAGGAATGGTGTCATATTCACTGTCTAAAAGAACATTGCAAAATCTATACTGAAACATAATGCTGTCAGTGATAGGAAAATATCCATATACCTACAAGGAAGGCCAGGAGCTCTGGTAGCATAGTGCCTAAGGCACTTGACTGCTAACCAGAAGGCTGGTGGTTCAAACCCACCAGCCACTCCTTGGAAGAAAGGATGGGCATTCCTACTTCCGTAGTGATACTGCCTCGGAAACCCAAGGAGGGGTCGCTATGAGTCAGGGCCGACTCAATGGCAAATAACAACAACAACAACAAGGAAGGCCAGTTAATACTACTATTATTCATATTTACACACCAACCAGTAAAGCCAAAGATGAAGAAAATGAAGATTTTACCAACTTCTGCAGTCTGAAGTTGAAGAAACATGCAATCAAGATGCATTGATAATTACTGGTGATTGGAATGCAAGTTGGAAACAAAGAAGAAGCATCTGTAGCTGGAAAATATGTCCTTGGTGAAAGAAACGATGCTGGAGACAGCATGATAGAATTTTGCAAGACCAACTTATTCATTGAAAATACCTTTTTTTTCAGCAACATAAATGGCAACTATACATGTGGACCTCACCAGATGGAATACATGGGAATCAAGTTGGCTACATCTGTGGAAAGTGGTGATGGAGGAGCTCAGTATCATCAGTCAGAACAAGGCCAGGAGCTGACTGGGGAACAGACCATCAATTGCTCATATGTATGTTCAAGTTGAAGCTGAAGAAAATTAAAACAAGTCCATGACAGCCAAAATATAACTTTGATTGTTATAACCCACTCATTCATTCTAAGAAATCTGGAAGACAGCAACCTGGCCATCGGAAGAAATCCACATTGGTGCTCATTCCAAAGAAAGGCGATCCAACAGAATGTAGAAATTATCAAACAATGCAATTAATATCACATGCAGGTAAAATTTTTCTCAAGATAACAGGACATCAACAGGGAACTGCCAGAAATTCAAGCCAGATTCAGAAGAGGGTGTGAAATGAGGAATACCATTGCTGATGTCAGATGGATCTTGGCTGAAAGCAAAGAATACCAGAAAGATGTTTACCTGTGTTTTACTGACCATGAAAAGGCATTCAACTATGCAGATCATAACAAATTGCATATAACACTGCAAAGAATGGGAATTCCACAACACTTAATTGTGCTTATGAGGAACCTGTACATAGACCAAGAGGCAGTCATTCAAATGGAACAAGGGGATACTTCATAATTTGAAATCAGAAAAGGTATGCATCAGGGTTCTATCCTTTCACCATACTTATTCAATCTGTATGCTGAACAAATAATTCAAGAAACTGGACTATGTGAAGAAGAATGTGGCATCAGGTGGGAAGAATACTCATTAACAACCTGTGATATGCAGATGACACAACTTTGCTTGCTGAAAGTGAAGATGACTTGAAGCACTTACTGATGACAATCAAAGACTACAGCCTGCAGTATGGATTACACCTCAACATAAAGAAAACAAAAATCTTCACAACTGGACCAATAAGCAATATCATGATAAATGGAGAAAAGACTAAAATTGTTAGGGATTTCATTTTACTTGAGTACACAATCAATGCCTATGGAAGCAGCAGTCAAGAAATTAGACGAGCAAATCTGCTGCAAAAGACCTCTTTAAAGTATTAAAAAGCAAAGATGTCACTTTTAAGAATATGGTGCATGTGACTCAAGCCATGGTAGTTTTAATAGCCACATATGCATGTGAAAACTGGATAATGAATAAGGAAGTCAAGGAGAAGGCTAGAGCATTTGAATTGTGGTGTTGGCAAAGAATACTGAAAATACCATGGACTGCCAGAAGAATGAACAAATCTGTTTTATAAGAACTACAGCCATAATGCTCCTCAGAAGCAAGAACAGCCAGACTTCATCTCTTGTACTTTGGTCATGTTGTCCCTGGAGGATACCATGCTTGCCTAACCAGAAGGTCAGCAAAAAAGGGGAAGACTCACAATGAGATGGATTTACACAGTGGCTACAACAATGGGCCTAAGCATAGCAAAGATTTTGAGGACGGCACAGGACTCAGCAGTGTTTAATGAGCTGGAGTGGACTTGATGGCACCTAACGGGAGCTCTGTGGCATAGTGCCTAAGGCACTTCACTGCTAACCAGAAGGCTGGTGGTTCAAACCCACCAGCCACTCCTTGGAAGGAAGGTTGGGCAATCTACTTCTGTAGTGATGCTGCCTCAGAAACCCAAGGGGGGGTCACAATGAGTTGGATCCGACTCAACCGCAGTGAGTTTGGGTTTTTTTGGTTTAGCAACAACAACAGTCTTTATGGAAGCAGATAGGTCTTTCTCCCACAGAGTTGCTAGGTGGGTTCGAACTGCTAAGCTTTGGGTTCGCAGCTGAGTGCTTAACTGTTGCACTACTGATGCTCCTTTTAATTTCCAATTATCCTATGATAAAGACCAAATCCCTACCTGGGCCTTTATGGTATGCCTTCCACCCTTCCAGCACTCTCTTGCCGCATGCTCCCCTTTACTCTCCCTTCTGTGACCAGATTGGATTTCAATACCTCAAGAGCCTCGTGCTTCTTTCCTACCACCGTCTCCTCTACTCTTGTCCTTCATCCACACTTCATCACCCCTTTGCCTGATCACCTCCTAGCCTTTCTTCAGGTCTCAACTCAATCATCACTTCCTCAAAAAAGTTTCCCAGACCTCTCTGCTTATGTCCAGTCTCCCTGTCCTTGATGGGAGTTATCCAGGTTGGAAATGTACATTTATCTTCTTATTATTATTAATTTTCTGACTTTCCCATGAAGGTAGGGAAAATATCTGCTTGTGCTCAATGCTCAGCACAATGCCTCACACATGCTAGGCACCTAATCAATATCCGCTGAATGCATGGATAGAAGACAGCTCAAAGCCATGCTAGTTTGGATCTCTGTAGACATCCATTGGCCATGAGCTAGAACTCCCTGAGTAGTGAAGCTTGATGTATGATACAAAAAAAAAAAAAAAAAAACCCAAACTCACTGCTGTTGAGTCAGATCCAAATCACAGTGACCCCTCCTGGGGTTTCTGAGGCAGTATCACTATGGATGTAGATTGCCCCTTCTTCCTTCTGAGGAGTGGCTGGTGGGTTTGAACCACCAGCCTTCTGGTTAGCAGTCAAATGCCTTAGGCACTATGCCACCAGAGCTCCTGTGGGATGATGCCCTCAATTAAAAGAGGGCATCATGGGCTGGAGAAACAAGGTCAGAACATAGGCTTGTGCCTTCTGCCAATGCTTGGTCAGGGCAATGGTCAGAGGAAGGGTGCAATACCCAGTCCATGAACCATCAGCATGGTCAATGCTTATAATGACTGTGCTCTATTTAGCCATCTCTTTGTCTGCTTCTAGGTTCTTATCTTTTTTTTTCTTTTTTAAACCTATCTAGTAATTCTCTCTCCCCTTCCTGGTAACCAACAAAGAAAATTTCCATCCATACATAAACCTTTCCTTGACTTTTTACAATAGTGGACTCATACAGTATTTGTCTTTCTGTGATTGACTTATTTCACTCAACATAATGTTTTCCATGTTCATCCATGTTATGCATTGCTTTGCGGATTCTACATTTCTTTAGTGTTGCATAGTATTCAATTGTGTGTATGTACCAGTTTGGTTATCCATTACTCTCTTGATGGGCACACAGGTTGTTTCTATCTCTTTGCTATTGTGAATAGCGCTGCTATGAACATGGGTGTGCATATATCTATCTGTGTACTGGCTCTCACTTCTTTAGCATGTTGTTGTTGTTGTTATGTGCCATCGAGTCGGACCTGACTCATAGCAACCTCTCCTTGGGCTTCTGAGGCAGTATCACTACGGAAGTAGACTGCCCCATCTTCCTTCTGAGGAGTGGCTGGTGGGTTTGAACCACTAGCCTTCTGGATAGCAGTCAAGTGCCTTAGGCACTATGCTACTGGAGCTCCCTTTAGCATATATACCCAGTAAGGGGATTGCTGGATCAAGTAGTATTTTTATTTCCATTCTGGGTTCTATTTTTGCCATTGTGGTCAGAAACTGTAGCACAAGGCAGGACACAGGGTGCATTCTGAGGATGAAGAACAGGAGATAAGTGGACAGATTCACCTCTGCCCAAAGAGGAT